CAGAGCAACTAGGCTCCACCTCACAAGCACCATCCAGGGTGCTCCAAGGGTGAATCCTCCCTGAGGTGGAGGCAGAAGACATGATCCTGGGGCTCTTTCTTTAACCAGGAGCCTATGGGACTAAGGAATGGCATGCTTGCTGACAAAGCTTCCAGATTGTCTATTATCTCATGGTCAGAGGCCATGGTGCCAAGGACAAGTGCAGATTCAGGGTCAGAAATCTTGCAGCATGTCTTCTATCTCTCTGTGGATTGGCAGGATCGTCCGGGAGGCTGTGGTGGGAAGGCCTATAGGCCTCACTGGGGCCAGGGCATTGATGAACAATGCCCACCGTGAGGGTGGGGGAATGGTGCCATGAGAGCCATTTGTTTGCCATTCCTGGTGTAGACACCCTTGGCTTGGTGGCCTACTTCAAGGTCGATCAGTTTACAAGCTCAGTGCTGAAGCCATCCCCTCTGGCACACTCACCCAGCACGAGAGAGGAAGCTGCTCTGCGGGCATCAGGGACAGAACTAGCCCACCCAGCCTGCTCTGCACGTGGTCTCACTAAGGGTCTGTCTTCCTCTATCTCCCCTGGAGAGGACCATCTCCAAGCAACCCTCGATTTCTGTTTCCCGACTCCACCCCTTACTGTTCAGTATCTTGAGTGCATTCCATTTGTAAAGCACAGTGCTGGGGGCCATGGGAGTCAAAGATGAATCAGACAACACACATCCACTCCCAAAGAGACTCAGGCCTCCCGGGTAAGAGATGAGCATCAATAACCACAGCAACCCACGGGCCTGGGTTTCATGTCTATTTAGCAGCAGAATGACCCTGGGGAGGCCACTCACTGGTCTATGCTTCAGCTTCTTCCACTGAAAAATAGGAATGGTCCCTTCTGCATCATGTGATTCCTGTGAAGGTGACAAGGAACTGATCGCCCATCACCATCAGCACACTAGTCCCTGGAGGCTGTGGGGAGGAAGAAGCAGGAAGTACCCACTCCCAATTCACTGCTTCTCCTCCCCTGCCTGTCATGACCCCAGGGAAGCAGACCCTGAACCTGTGCTCTTGCCTTTACCTTCATCTTCTCCACTCCGGGGTAATTAAGAATGACTTGCTAATTATGCCATGATCTAGCGCAATGTGTAACCTTGGGGGCCACCAGGTGCTGATCAGTAGAAAGAACAGGGGAGGAGGATGAAGTCAGGTCAACGGGAAAGGGGAAATGAGGAAGAGGAGAAGAAAAGAAGAGGTGGGGAAAAGGAAAAAGAAAGAGATGGAGGAAAGGACCAAGAGCTTTGCAGAGAAAATCACCCTTCCCAGGGGGAAGGTGCTGGGCAGTGGCACGGCCTCTTGGGTGAAGAGATTGGGCAGGGACTGACTGACAATGGCAAATGACAGCATCCAAACTTCCACACACACAGTCTGTTCCTTCCTCTTCCCTGTGCCATCCCAACTCCCTCCTGCCTTGTCATCTATGTCATGGGAAGCAGGTGACATATCTGGCCCAATGTTTTTGGGGCCTGGCTTCTCCCAGGTGAAGAGGAGACAGATGGAGAGGCAGAAAGAGGGAGCAGGAAGGGGCACGGCTAAAGACAGCCTGGGAGGTGCTTGTCATTCCCTTCAGTCTCTGCACACTCCCAGCTGCTGCAGAGCAGGAGGAGAGAGCACAGCCTGGAATGCTAATTTGCCAGGCATTCACCTGTCTGCACCACTGGGCACCGGCACCAGTGAGGCCAGGGACTGGGCTGTGCTGGGGCCTGAGATGGGGTGGGAGGGAAAGAGAGGGCTCTCTTCTGCCCACCTGTTTCATCTGTGCAGGAGGTTTATAAGCAAGAGGAGCATGTGTAAGGGGAGAGAGTCAAAGCTGGTCACATCCTCACCAAGAAAGCCCATGAAAAATAAAAAGTCCACGTTTGTCCAGTGCCACAGAAAAAGGGCAGGTGGAGGAGGAGAGGTGTCGGTGCTCCCCACTCCACTCCCACTCATCACTGACTCCTCCCTTTCCTTCATCATTGTTCCCTATCTGTCACCATTTCCTGTCATCCGTTTCCTCTGAATGTCTCACCCGGCCCTCCCTGTTTGCAGGTCCCCTGTCTTCAGTCTCATCCCTGCCACATCCTGACTACAGCAACAGCTTCTGAGTGTCCCTGGCATCCACTCTCTCTTCATGTCCCTTCTGTGACAGGTGCCTGATGAACCTTCCTCAACTCTTCTGTCTCACCCCTGCCCTGCTTGAAACCCAATCACTGCTCCCTAACACTCCTAAATCAACCTAAGTCCTCTTCTGAGTACTCTATGGACCCTAACTCATTCATCCCAACTTTTCACTTATTACTTTACCCCACACACTGCCAGGGAGCCTCCCATGGCCCCATGGGGACACGGAGGAACCAAGGCAAAGCTCCTTGGCACCATTCAGAGGCCTGGCCCACAGGCTTGTGGGAAATCAGCCTCTCATGCCCTGTGAGCTGAATGCAAGGGAGAGGCAGCACTGACTGCTCCCCATGCAGAACCACTACCCTCCTCCAGCCCCTGTGCAGGCTGGCCTTCCTGGCAGACCATCATACACCATGTTCCAAGCCACACAGGCTTCTCTCCAAGCCTGTGGCCCCATTTCCAGACCCCATCAGGGAGGCCTGCACGCCCACCTCCCTACCCTGCCCTCCTCCTCCAGGAGCCTGTCCTATGTGGAGTAGGCACGTGGCTTTCCTCTCCAGCACATATTTTCCCTTTACTCAAGCAATGGCCCCGTGTCCTTTGGGGAATCCATCTCTCCTGCAGGCTTACACCCTGAGCTTCAGGTGGGTGGTCTGAAGAGCTCCTTGGTCTAAGCCAAGTGGCATGTCATAGTCCCTTGGCCCCAGCAATGGATTCTGGGACAGACACAAGGACCAATCCAGGCGAGTGTCGCCTCTAGAGGAAGTGAGGGACATAAGAGAGCATTCTTTTCTGTTGAAACTGACCCTGCCAAGTCACCTTGCCACCACAAGAGCATGGCCTGAGAATGCAGCCAGACCCAAAGAAGCAAACTGACAAGGAAGGAAAGCAAAGCCAGGCCTGATGATGTCATTTTGGCCCTAACTACAAAGGCCATTCTACTGATTGGTTACCTTTTGCTTAGCTTAGTTTGGGGAGTTCTGACAGGTGTGCCACCAATTCTTACCGATTTCTCTCCCTTCTAGACACTGAGAAGCCCACATGGTCCATGCTACACAATTAACAATTAATCTCGCCCTACATGTTCCCATTCCAGCCCCTAAGCTCTTTGAGGACACAGTGTCAGCCACATAATTAGTGTCTCTTAAAGATCCTGCATGAATGCAGAGCACATGGTGGAGAGATCGATGCAGTGACCTGGAACCTCGCATGAGGGAGCCAGGACTCAGGCCCAGTGCTCCTGAGAAGCATCTTCCCCTTCCTGGGCTGCACCAGCAACTTGAGGATCCCACACTCAATGAACGCAGCACTCCACTCCCCAGAAGATGCCTTCCTGCCCTCTCCTCATCCCATCACTGGGCAGGGGACATGCAACTGTCTACAAGGTGCCAAGTACCAGGACAGGAAAGGAAAGACACCAAAAATCCAAGGCTTCCCTCAGAGAAGGGCAACCATGCAATCCCCATCTTGGTGAGGAAACTCAGTTTCTAAGGGAATGGTTTTGGCCTCCATTCTAAGCACTGAACATGGGGTAGCCATAATCTGGAGCTGATGGCTCTTAAAGACCTGCATCCTCTTGCCTAGGCGTCCCTTGGGCACATTTATCACTACGATAAGCACAAAAGGTACATCCAACAATTTCAGTAACTGCTGATGACAAGTTCACGAATGGCAACCGAGTCCAGTGAATGGGTCAAGATTATCAACAGGGAAGAGCTAACATTTATTTCCTGAATTCCTCCTAGGTGCCAGGCACTGTTCCCTTTCTTTCCATGTTTTCATTCATTTAGTCTTTAAAATAATTCTACCAGGAAGCTACCATTATTACCACAACTTCACAGATGAGAACATTAAGGCTTACAGAGGTTGAGTTGCCCAAGGTTACAGAGGAAGCAAACAGGAAAGCTGGATCTGAGCCAAGGCATTAGCTCCAAGACGATCCCCTCAGCCACTTCAGTGCATGACCCCTTGATTACAAGGACATTCTTGACAAGCTGGGGGCAAGTTGGGGTGAGTCAGAGGGGTGAGGTCATTCAGGAAGAGGTAGGCTTCTAGTTGGTGACAGAAGTGGAGGCTGCACAGTGAAGGATCAGGGGATCCAGGTCTGGCAACAATCAGGGAAGGGCAGGGCAGGGGTGACTTGGACCATGAGAGGGACCTGAATCTGGCAGTCATATACTTCCCACTGGGGTCCACCATGTGAGACACTGTGTGGGATCCCAGGAAGGAGACCAAGCCTCATTTCAGGTAGTTCATGGCCAAAGACAGGACGTGTGCATCCAACAACCGCTGGGACCTTTGCCAGGAAACAGCAAACACCACTCACTCACTCATATTAGATAAACACTGAGTCAAAATTCACCAGATCCCAAGGACTATGCGAGGTCAGCACTGCTGATACAAGCAGCCTCAGCCCTCCAACTCGGCTCCCGCAATGGCCGCTTCATGCTCCAACCACGCTGGCTTTCTTTTAGGTCCTCTACCTCTGGGCTGCAGTTCATGTGCTTCCTTCTTTCTGGAATTTTCTTCCTGACCTACCCAACTGAACCCTCAGACTTTACCACAAATGTCATTTCCTCACATCCCCCTTCCCTGACCCGAGATCAAGCCAGGTCTACCTGACCCAAGACCAAGCCAGGACAAGCCTTGCAGCACCCTATCTCCCCTCCACAGAGGCTGTAATAACCCACAGGACCTGGGGCCATGATCTGTGGCTTTGAATCCTGGCTCTGTCACTTGCCCAGGTCTCTCAGCCTTTCTGTGCCTCAGTTTCCTCATCTATAAAATGGAGATGACAGCAGTGACTGCTCATAAAGTGTGGCAAGGACTAAATGAGTTAATGCACTCAAATCAATGGTGGTGCATGGTTAATGCTATATAAATAACAGTGATTACCAAATATTATCAACAGGCCTTGTCACAACTGTTATTAAAGAACTAATCATGCATTGGTTATCAGGTCTTTCTCTCCTGCCAGCATGTGCACTGCAGTTGGACAGAGATGCTGCCTTATCCATGGCTGGATCTATAGAGATTCTTACAATGCCTTGCACACAAACACTATTGGGTACGTATTTGCTGGCTACAGGAAAAAGTGAAGAAATATACCCCCCAAATGGGAGAAAGAGAATGAGTTAGGAGAGCAGAGCCACCATAGGAAACCAGGAGGCTAAGTGGGGTGGAAGCGAGTGAGCTCTCAGACTCTCAGGAGCAAAACCTTCCAAGCTGGGCTCTTACCTCAGCCCCTCCCACACAAGGAAGCTGGATGGGTCCCTCAGGACCAGGATTTCCCCTAAGGGGCTGCTCCCAGAGGGTATGTTGCTGGGACTGCCCAGGATGGGGATGGTCCTCTGATCAGGAGGAGGTGAGTGGCAGCACACACCTGCTGAAGATGTCTCCAGAGACCTTCTGCAGGTACTGCAGGGCATCCACCATCTGCTGGATGGCCTCCTCTCGCCGCAGGTCTGGCTGGATGAGGGGCACGGCATACGTCTGATTTACCAGGGAGTGCTGGGTCTTCACAGGAGTCATGGTGCCCGTGGGTGGGAGCTGGAGCATCAGAGCTGCCTACACTCACCTGCACCCACTCACTCTAATCCAGCCATGAGTACAAGGCTAAGGAGTGACAAGAGTACATACACAATTCTCCTCAAAAAGGAAGGCGAGACAACACAGCCCTCATCCCAACTATGCACATAGCTTCAGCCTGAACAAATAGGGGAGAAGGGGACAGAGCATTTGGTGGGAGGCCAGGAGCACACAGATGGGAGCCTGCTGATGCCCGCTCAGTGAATGAGGGAGGGGGAGGGCAGGACCAGGGACTGGGGAAT